GTAAGATAATACATGTGTTTTTTCAGCTACTAAGTTTGTGATTATTTGCTATACCAACAATATGAAACTAATGTAATTTCCTTCTGGGAAAAAATGCTAATTTTTAAAAAATTTTCTTTTTAAAAAAAAATTTTTTTTATTGCATTTTAGGTTTTGGGGTACACGTGAAGAACATGCAAGACTGTTGCCTAGGTAAACACGTGGCAGTGTGATTTACTGCCTTCCTCCCCTTCACCTATATCTGGCATTTCTCCTCATGCTATCTTTCCCAACTCCCCACTCCCCACTGTCCCTCCCCTATTTCCCCCCAACAGACCCCAGTGTGTGGTGCTCCCCTCCCTCTGTCCATGTGTTCTCACTGTTCAACACCCACCTATGAGTGAGAACATGTGGTGTTTGATTTTCTGTTCTTGTGTCAGTTTGCTGAGAATGATGGTTTCCAGGTTCATCCATGTCCCTACAAAGGGCACAAACTCATCGTTTTTGATGGCTGTGTAATATTCTATGGTGTATATGTGCCACATTTTACCTGTCCAGTCTCTCATCGATGGGCATTTGGGTTGGTTCCAGGTCTTTGCTATTGTAAACTGTGCTGCAATGAACATTCGTGTGCATGAGTCCTTATAGTAGAACGATTTATAATCCTTTGGATATATACCCAGTAATGGGATTACTGGGTCAAATGGAATTTCTATTTCTAGGTCCTTGAGGAATCGCCACACTGTCTCCCACAATGGTTGAACTAATCTACACTCCCACCAACAGTGTAAAAGTGTTCCTATTTCTCCACATCCTCTCCAGCATCTATTGTCTCCAGATTTTTTAATGATTGCCATTCTAACTGGCATGAGATGGTATCTCAATGTAGTTTTGATTTACATTACTCTAATGACCAGTGATGCTGAGCATTTTTTCATATGTTTGTTGGCCTTCTGTATGTCTTCTTTTGTAAAGTGTCTGTTCATAACCTTCACCAACTTTTGAATGGGCTTGTTTTCTTTTTTTCTTTTTTTTCTTGTAAATCTGTTTTAGTTCTTTGTAAATTCTAGATATTAGCCCTTTGTCAGGTGGGTAAACTGCAAACATTTTTTCCCATTCTGTTGGTTGCCTATTCACTCTAATGACTGTTTCTTTTGCTGTGCAGAAGCTGTGGAGTTTGATTAGGTCCCATTTGTCTATTTTGACTTTTGTTGCCAATGCTTTTGGTGTTTTGGTCATGAAGTCCTTGCCTATGCCTATGTTCTGAATGGTTTTGCCTAGATTTTCTTCTAGGATTTTTATAGTGTTAGGTCTTATGTTTACGTCTTTAATCCATCTGGAGTTAATTTTAGTGTAAGGTGTCAGGAAGGGGTCCAGTTTCTGCTTTCTGCACAAGGCTAGCCAGTTTTTCCAACACCATTTATTAAACAGGGAATCATTTCCCCATTGCTTGTTTTTTTCAGGTTTGTCAAAGATCGGATGGATGTAGATATGTTGTATTGCCTCTGAGCCCTCTGTTCTGTTCCATTGGTCTATATCTCTGTTTTGGTACCAGTACCATGCTGTTTTGATTACTGTAGCCTTGTAGTATAGTTTGAAGTCTGGTAGTGTGATGCCTCCCGCTTTGTTCTTTTTGCTTAGAATTGACTTGGCTATGTGGGCTCTCTTTTGGTTCTATATGAAGTTTAAGGTGTTTTTTTCCAGTTCTGTGAAGAAGGTCATTGGTAGCTTGATGGGGGTAGCGTTGAATCTGTAAATTACTTTGGGCAGTATGGCCATTTTCACAATATTGCTTCTTCCTAACCATGAACAAGGAATGTTTCTCCATCTGTGTCCTCTTTTATTTCATTGAGCAGTGTTTTGTAGTTGTCCTTGAAGAAGTCTTTATGTTCCTTGTTAGTTGTATTCCTATGTATTTGATTCTCTTTGTAGCAATTGTGAATGGCAGTTCGTTCTTGATTGGCTCTCTTTAAGTCTGTTATTGGTGTATAGGAATGCTTGTGATTTTTGCACATTGATTTTGTATCCTGAGACTTTGCTGAAGGTGCTTATCAGTTTCAGGAATTTTGGGCTGAGATGATGGGGTCTTGTAGATATACAATCATGTCGTCTGCAAATAGAGACAATTTGATTTCCTCCTGTCCTATTGAATACCCTTTATTTCTTTTTCTTGCCTGATTGGTCTGGCTAGAACTTCCAGTACCATATTCAATAGGAGTAGTGAGAGAGGGCATCCTTGTCTAGTGCCAGATTTCAAAGGGAATGCTTCCAATTTTTGCCCATTCAGTATGATATTGGCTGTTGGTTTGATGTAAATAGCTTTTATTATTTTGATATATGTTCTGTCAATACCTAGTTTATTGAGGATTTTTAGCATAAAATGGTGTTGAATTTTGTCAAAGGCCTTCTCTGCATCGAGATAATTATATGGTTTTTGTCTTTGGTTCTGTTTATGTGGTGAATTACATTTATAGACTTGCGTATGTTGAACCAGCCTTGCATCCCTGGGATGAATCCTACTTGATCATGGTGGATAAACTTTTTGATGTGCTGTTGCAATCGGCTTGCAAGTATTTTATTGAAGCTTTTTGCATCTATGTTCATGATGGATATTATGACCATCTCATGCTCAGACACCACTCCAGGTTCAGCAATTATTCTAAGAATGTCTTTTATCACCAGGGAACTGATGGATGTGGGCCTTTCTTACCTCATTATATTCCTAAATAGATACCTTATGGTGTTCTATTCGTCCCACTGGGCGATCTGTATATTTTTGGAAATGAGGAAAGTGATCTGGATCGATGTGGTCATTTTTGTTGTATGTAAATAAAAAATCCTCGCTAACGTGTTGGAAAAGTCTAAAATTTTTATGCAGCATTTGGATTGTTTCATTTTTGCTATTTCAGATTTTGCACTGTGGTGCAGAGTGAAATAGAAATCTTTCATCAACATTGAAAAGCATCCTGTACTGTCCTAGAATATTTCATTGCGAACTTTTTGCTGTGACAGAGGACAGCAGAGTAAGCAGTCTAGTACCTCCACGCTCTGGAACATGTGTGGGGCTTGGAAGTGACTCTGGGATTGCTGGTTAGTGGGATGAGCACAGCGTCCACTGTCCCCAAGATCTCTGCCTGAGTAAAAGTCAAAGGAGTGATTCAATCTGGCCTCCTACCCACAGTGTAAGAGCTCTCTGATATTCCATTTCCTGTCCACCAATTGGTAGAGACAGATTAAAAAATCTGATCACGTGAGCCCAGGAGTTGGAGATTACAGTGAGTGATGATTACGCCGCTTCACTCCTATATGGTTGACAGAATCATAAAAGCAAAAAGGATTAATACATTTCTTGGTCAGTGCATGGAAAGGATCCCTGAGGTCTGAAGTCCAGCATGTGATTTGACTAGCAATACTGTTTGGATAATGAGGTCATACTTCCGAGAAGTGTCTGCTTTCCCACAATCAACGAAGTAGAAAGAAAATGCTTTTTGCTGGGTTTTCTTGTCCAGTTATAACTTGTCCAGAAATTCCATCCATTAGCACCAAGAGAAAGTGGCAGAGGATGTGAAGAAAAACAGCTGCTAGGACCATCACCGAAGGTAGTAAGTGGCATGTGAGGTTGAGTCTCCAATGCCCTCATCATCTGCTGCGGGCTGAGGCCTTGCCAAGGCTTGAACTCCTGGCTGTCCAGCAAGGCACAGTGGTGAGTAGACAGGCGGCCTTCCTGAAGGAGAGCGGGAGGCGGACCAGGCCAACAGGGGCTGCTGGGTGTCATCTTCCACCTTCAGAAAGATGAAGCATTGGTTTAAGTGGCTGAGGAAAACCTGGGTCGGTTCTCCCGGGCGACCCCTCCCAGGCCCTCCCCTTTTCGGAGCCCCTCCCCCAGATAAGGACCATGTTTTCCCTCCAACCCTCTCCCTGGCTTTGCAGCCTCGAAACCTCCTTCCTCCCACACCACATCACAGAGCCAGCCCAGGCCCCACTACAGCCCACGGGGCTCAGAACTGAGGCTGGGAAAGAGGGGTCTGCACCCTCACTCAGGGCCTGTACCTCCTCCTCACAGAAGGGTCTAGAGGACCTGGCGGGGCGGGGGGGCCTGTCCAAAGAGCGGTCTCTGGATCCACATTCCCTGGCCTTGGGTGGGCTTGCAGGCAAACCTGCTCTTTCCCCTTCCCTCTCAGCCTCTCCTCACCCTGGGAGCTGCACCCACAGCTCTGAATGGAACTGTCCCCACCCGCCCCATTCATTCCTGGCCAAGCTCAGTGCTGACCATGGAACTCCAGTAGCAGCTCAGCTCCCTGTCTGCGTCCATCTGCTCCAGGCAGGACTGCAGCTGGCTCAGGGTCTGGAGTGTGCAGGAGGCGGGAGTGCAGGGGAACAGCCACAGAGCCTTGCTGGCAATTCCATGGGTTCTAGTGGCTCGGCCTTTTCCTAAACCTCATCCTGGACACACTCCACCCTTCACCTTCCCCCTTAACTGCTGGGACCCAAGCTGCTTTCTCTGGGAATGCGGCCTTTGGAATGGGGTGAATCAAGGCCTCACCGCCCCCTCGTCCTGGGATTCCCCCAGATCACTCTCTTCTCTGCCTCCTTCAGGGATGCCCTTTCCCTTGACCTCCTAGGTGAAGCGGCCATGCTGCTCCTCTCCTACTGTGCGGACTGCCCGTGTCTGGGTTCCTGCTGCCTGCGGGCCACACACCACTACCCTTCCCAAGAAGGAACCTGCTCTGAAACAGGCCTGAGTTGGCTAATCAGACCCGGAGCCTTGTATGGGCCCCTTCCTTTCCCTCCAGCCTCTGAAGGTGAGAATCCATCAGAACTCAGGGCAGAGCTGCCCAGGTCAGTGCCAACAAGTGACACTAGGTCTCATTCACCTGTCTCATGTCAGGACGGAAAGGTCCCGGCCATGGGGAGGGGTGGGATTCTGGGAATTCTCCTTTCCCATCGTCCCTCCTCACCCATCTGCTTCTTGCTCTCCTCCCAATTCTGCCCACAGTACCTGTCACTTTAAAGGACTCACCTCAGTTGCCAGTCAGGAGGCAGCAGAGGAGGATGAAGAAGAGGTAGCAAAGCATGAGGGTGGTGGCCACGGCCCTGAGCGGGACTGTGCCTGAGGACACGGTGGGCGGTGCTGAAATGGAAACACCAGCGTCACAGCCCTTGTCCAGGCCCCGCATTTGAAGACACACCTCCTCTGCTCCTGCCACCCCAGGTCATCCTACAAGGTGAAGGTTTTGTCCCCCCTGCTATGGGGCAGCCCCAGAGACAGGTCCTGGGGTAGGAAGGGAGAGGGGGTGTCCCCTGTCCTCAGGGAGCTCACACAGCTGCTCAGGGAAGCAAGGTGACAGCACAGCCCACCCTCCTGCTGTGGCGGAAGAAGAGGTGATGCCCCAGGGCGGGAGAGGGAGGATCTCCAGGCTGGCATTGAAGGTGGTTTTGATGGATTTCCAGAAACAGACCAAGGGGAGAGGAAAGGAAAAGTGATCCTAGGAGGAGGGAAGTCTAAGGGGAAAGGTCTAGAAACACAATAGTTTTGAGGTTGGCGAGAAATCCACAGTGAGGGGAGCAGAAGCAGGTGCAGTGAGGAAGAGGAGTCAGGAGGGAGAAGGGAGAGGAGGATGGGAGAGCACAGGCGCCCCCAGGAGGAGCCCCCGACGAGGGGTCATGTTCTTACTCAAACTCACACACTCACACTCACAAACACACTCCCACACCCACAAACACTGACACCCACTCACACCCATACACCCGCACCCACCACAGATACCGACAGACAAGGCTGTAACTCGACGGCATCTCCAGGCGCTCCCAGTGCTCCCCTGTAGTCACCTGTGGGCTCCTGCCTCTTCTCCCTGCACATCAGGAAGTCCCGAAGCCAGCTCCCGCAGTCTCCTGTGGAGATCTTCCAGAAGAATACGGTCAGTTCCCTGTCTTCCTCCCACTTCTCTTTCATCTGCCTGGCTCCAGCATGAACCACTGTCCACTTTCTGTTGTTTGAGTCAAAGAGGAGGAACTTCTGTCCGTGAAATTCAAACTGCCAGGATCCCTGGATGTGTCCATCGGCTTCACACTCACAAGACATCCTGGCCTGCAGCGTGACGGGTCCTGCCCCAATCAGAAAGAGATCAGCTCTGGTCTTTACAAATTCTCTTCCCTGCCCCACACCCTCCTCCTCTGAGCCCCTTCTCATCTGGCCCTGTTGTCTCCTCCAGGTCCTGCCCTTGCTGCTGGGTGTCACGGAGGCCCCGTGTCTAATGTCTTCTCCCCACACACGGTGCAGCCCCTGAGCCCACAGTCTGCTCCCTTCCGTCCTCGGTCTCCTCCACTCACCACTGGGGGTGAAATCCTCCAGCTCAATGCCAGGCAGTTCTAGTCTGAGCGTCTGCCCCACCTCTCTCAGCATTTCCAGTTGTCTTTCCCAGGCATCTGTGGCATTCAGCTGCTCTTCTAGGCGACCCACAGAGAAGACCTTGTCAGTGCCACAGTCATAGGAGAGGAAATTCTTCTGATCCACCTGGCCTTGGACCTCGCACCACCGTTGTCCAGATCTGGGCAGATGGGTGATGGTGAAGTTGTAGCAGAGAGAGTGAGCGTCTGTGGGAAAAAAGAAAAAACACCGGAGAGTGTTGGAGTGGGAGAAAGACCCCAGACGCTGTAACAGCAAGAGGGTTTCCTGCAGGGCGGGGCTGCCAGAGCATGGGCTTCTCCTCCTGGGCAGTGGCCTCTGTCTGTGGAGGAACCATGGGTCACCAATGTGTCCATCTCCCCACTCTGCCCAGGCCTATACATACATCGGTCAGCACAGGACCTTGCCAGGGAGGTGCCAGGCCTGCTACAGGAGGAAGGGCCTAGATGGCAGGATCTTCAGCAGCAGCCCAGGTGGACTGCGGGAGGTGGGAGAGTGGGGAGGGCACCCTGAGGATGCTGGAGCATGGCACAGTGGGTATGATGTAGTCAACACTGGATAAGCGTGAGTTTATTTATTATAGGTAACCAGACACATGGGATCCCTGGAATGTGCCTCTCATCTGCTAGTAGGTTGCCCTTGGGACCTTGGAAAGAGGAATGACCAACACCGCATGAAACAGAACCCCAGCTCATACATTGCGGGTTGGAAGAAACCAAAGGCCGAGAGAAGCGCCCGTGCCAGAGTGGCTGCTGCATGAAAATCCAGAACAATGTCCGTCCTCTGTGCCCACGGGAAGCCTGGAGGACTCCTGTCTACCCAGCATATAAAGAAGGCCCCGGGAGAAGGCAGCAGACTGTCATGAAGCTCAGGGGTGCCTGTTGCTGAAGGCTGGGTTGGGGGTAAGAGGTGATATTTCTGAAATGGGTGCCCAGCAGTAACGGGGATGGAAAATCCTGAAATACCAGATCTCAAATGGAGGCTGTCAACTGCCAGGAGGAAGGAGGGTGCCATGATGGAAATGATTAGGGAAGTCACAATGCCAGCTGGGGACCTCTGCCATACAAAGCTCTGCCCATGGCTCATAGAACAAAGGGGTCCAAGATCCAAGAGATGGAGACTCCACGTGGCTACTGCGAGACTTAAATAATTACAACAAACGAAGACAAAATGCAAGGATGGATGACCCGGAAGCTGAAAGTCGTCACCCCAGGAAATAACTGAGCTCCTTTGCTCAACTGTGACAACTGAGCTGCATCTCACACCCAGAGTCCATGACTAGGAGAAGAGCCCAGAGCCCCTGGTGGGCCCCTTCAACCCACAGCAACTGCAGTGACTGCTCCAGCCTCCCCACAGAGCCAGACGGGCATTCACTCTGCTAACTGTACACCAAGAAACAGCAAATACCCAGACACGCCTAGTGGACACAGTGTGCGACCAGACTCCTCCCAGGGATCTGAAGCATTCACTAGCTCCCCTGTTACTCATGAGGTGTATTTGGGGCATAGTAACGGATGGACACCTGTGTCAGGTCCAGTTAGATGGATGTGCTGCGCTCATAGACCCATTCGATGGTAATTTCACATTTCCTGGATTTGTGCCAGGAATGGATAGAGTTTGTAGTTAATTTAGTAACTATTACAGGTTGTGCTGGTCATATGACCTCCCCGTCACTACTCAACCCTGCTCTTATAGCTGGGGTGCAGCCATACACAGTCGGTGAATGAGGAGTGGGGCTGGACCTGTCACTACGGCTATTTGACCCTGGACTCCCTAAGTTCCCAGTGGCATGTGTGGTTGGAAAAGGTGCTATGTGGATTTCACGGCAATTTCCAAGTGCAGAATCACAACAGCGTCCCCCAGTGCTCAGAATCAAGGCTGTGCCACTCACAGCTGCAAAATCTCCTCATTGAAAAGTGGCTCCAGGTGTGTCTCTGGGCCCTGGTGGAGATGGGCCTCCCTGAGGGAGGGCAGTGACCGCGCAGCCTCAGAGCTGCCATCACAGGGTGTGCTCCTCACGCTCTAGGTCATTAGGAAGGTAGGCCTGGCTGTGAGAAGATGCAGGTGGTTCTCCTGGGACAGGCAGGAGCAGGGCCACAGGGAACCGAGAGGCTGCACAAGCAGTTGTCCCCGATCCCCGGACACCACAGGGCTGCACCCCCTCACGCCCAGCTCACACCCGAGGCTTTAGGACAGTTGTGATGGCCTGGTGGATCACTGATGCCACTCAGCAGCAAAGGAGGGGACCGTAGGCCCCGAACCATGGGACCCCCACTCACATCCATCACATCCACACACCCAGAAGCCACAGGCAAGGTAGGACACACTGTGACTCTTCAACTGACACCACTTGGAGATGACACCCTAGGGGATGCGGCACCGATTGCCAGGACACGGCAGGTGCCCTCATCTGGGCTCAGTAACCTAGGATGGTACCCACATCTGGTCTCCCTTTTATTTCCAGGTTGCTTTGCCTGCTGTTGCTCTACAAAGGGACAGGACTTGACACAGAGACAGAGAACCCATGGCCGGCAAGGACCACAGTGCCTGCAGCCTTTCCTTTCTGGAAAGGGTTTGCTGACTCCTGTCTGCACAGTGACTACTCTCTATGACCCCAGCTCCCTACTGGGATGAACAGGGGGGTCTGGGCCCTAAGGGCAGAAGTGGGCACCTCCACTCACCAGCGTTCCCAGGGTCATCCTGGGGTAATGGTGCTTCCCATCCCCGCTGCACTAGGTTGTGTGGAAAGCGTGGGGTGTGTTTGCTGGGGTGTCCTCAGGCAAGGGGGGAGAAGGTGCCAGTTGGTCGAGAGGTGCTAAGGGCCCCTTCATGGATGGGGAGGTGAGGGAGGCCTGTGGAATGACAGGGCTGGGCTGAGGTGGGCAGGGAGAGGATGTGACCTGGGAGGTGGCAGTGGATGGTGAGGGAGGGGTGGGAAGTGTCTGCTGAGCCGCTGGGTGCAGGTGAGTGTCTGCAGGAAAGTGCCAGGGCAAGTTCCAGGGCAGGGAGTCCTGGGGGTGCTGGAGGGTTTGTGTGGTGGAGCGTGGGTTAGTGCAGAGCAGGTCTGTGGCTGGTGGGAGTGTCTGTCATTGTGTCCCTGTGGACCCCCATTCACCCCTGTCCTGACCCCAGCTCCATTTCCAGGGGCTCTCATTTCTCCTGGACAGCGAGTGGTCCTGTGGGGCTGCGCCAGGAATCCCTGCCCCACCTCGCCCTCTGCAGCCCTCTGACCCCTCCACCCTCCGGAGGTTCTTCTTCAGCTTTCTTTGACAACCCTCCTGGCCTGGGAGGCAAGTGGCAGCGAAGGCAGCAGACCTGGCGGAAAGGAGCTGCAGAAGGGAACTGAGGGCGGGGCGCTGTCCGAGGAGATCGCTCTGGTCTCCCCTCTTCTGAAACCCTCTGTAGTCCACGGCCTCCCCCCGCCCCCAGGATTGGGGTCCACCCTCCAACTCACCGGTGCACTGCGCCCGGGACCAGCCGGACAGCAGGAGCAGAAGCGCGAGGCAGAGAAGGAACGCGGGGCTGGTGGCGGCTGCCATCAGCGTCCTGGAGCGCAGCGAAGGAGAGTCGCGATCAATGCGGAGACCCGCGGATGAATCGTCTGGGTCTTCCCACGCAGCATTATTATGTGGGGCCGCCAAGGAGACCTGCAAAAAGTAGGAAAGCGTCAGCGTCCCTACAGCTTGTGGTGTGAACCCTGAGCGCCGATTGGCCGCACTGAGCTGGGCGGGGTCCCAGTCGGTTCCTCCTCTCCACCGACTGGGGATAGGACACTTCCTTCTCTGACGGCCTCATTTAATTTTCCACATGGCATTTATTATTTCCCCAGTGTACTGATGCACAGGAAGGTGAAGAAATTTGCACAGCAATGTTCAGTGGCCGCGATGTGTTCAGGTCACCACCAGCGCCAGAGACACTGGCCTCCCTCTCGGGAGTCCCCACCCTTCTCACCCAGGTCGCAGGCGCTTCCCCGGTCCAGAGAGGACCTTCTTTGCCTCTCCACTAAAAGCATGGGGAGGTCTTTGAGTATATTCTATATCCGTTTATGATTTCTGGAAAAAACAAAAAGAGGAAAGTCCTAAAAGTGGCATACCCTGATCAATCATGTGATTAATTGTGTTTCTACAGGGAGCAAAAGCCAAGGGAGGAGTCTATGCATACGTGGGGCTCACTTTGCTCCCCGTTGTGGGAAGAAGAAAAGTTCCTTTTTAAAGTTTCCTTTCTTGTTAAAGAATAAGTGTGCTAATAACTTTGTTAAGCCCTATCCTATGTAGCTGTTAGACATGCCATGCTTATAGGCAGTAGTACATTCTATGTTCTTGTACTTTAAGCAAAATATCTGTGCTGGACATGCCCACAGACATGTCCCAGCTGTCCATTGCTTTTACCTGTTTAGAAAAGTTTTAAGTTGTTAGCCAATAGGGTTTTAGTTTAGATTGTGAGGTGTGGGAGAGAGATCCAAGATGGCTGATCACTAGCAGCTCAGGATTGTAGCTCCCAGTGAAAGCGCAGAGAACGAGAGGATGCCACATTTTCAGATGAATTCTTGTTGCTCAGGCACCAGGAGATTCCCAGCGTAGGAGCCCCACGGGTCGCCAGCAGGACTCTTGTGACCGGCAAGGCGGTTTTGCTGGCGCCTCGGAGCGTCGGTTCTTGGTGCAGAGTCAGAAAAGCACTATCAATCTTAACGCTGCTGATTTAGTCGGCGCAGTGGGTTGCTCAGATTTCAGCGCTGAGAATCAATAAGTTGGACGTCCACTCAGAAACCCAATTATAAAGACGGTAAATACAAAGACCACAGATGGATAAATTTATAACTAAGGGAAGAAAACAGCCAAAAAAGGCTGAGAATACCCAAGATCAGAACGCCTCTCCCTCAGCAGGGGATCACAGTTCCTCATCAGCAACGAAACAAGGCTTGATGGAGAACGAGTGTGTTCCAATTACAGAAGCAGGCTTCAAAAGGTGGCTAATAAGAAACTTCTGTGAATTAAAAGAACTTGTTCTAACCCAATCCAAAGAAACTAAGCACTTTGAAAAAAGGTTTGACGAAATGTTAACAAGAATACACAATTTAGAGAGGAATATAAGTGAATTGATGGAGCTGAAAAACACAATACGAGAACTTCGTGAAGTATGCACAAGTTTTAACAGTCGAATTGATCAAGCAGAAGAAAGGATATCAGAGGTGGAAGACCAACTTAATGAACTAAAACGAGAAGACAAGATTAGAGAAAAAAGGATAAAAAGGAACAAGCAAAGTCTCCAAGAAATGTGGGACTATGTGAAAAGACCTAATCTGTTTGATAAGTGTACCTGAATGTGACGAAGAGAATGAATCCAAGCTGGATTCATCCTGAAAATAAGCTTCAGGATATTATTCAGGAAAATTTTCCCAACCTAGCAAGGCAGGACAATATTCAACTCCAGGTAATACAGAGAATACCACAAAGATATTCCTCAAGAAGAGCAACTCCAAGGCACATAATCGTCAGATTCACCAGGGTTGAAATGAAGGAGAAAATACTAAGGGCAGCCAGAGAGAAAGGTCAGGTTACCCACAAAGGGAAGCCTATCAGACTTACAGCAGATCTCTCAGCAGAAACCCTACAAGTCAGAAGAGAGTGGGGGCCAATATTCAACATTCTTAAAGAAAAGAACTTTCAACCAAGAATTTCACATCCAGCCAAACTAAGCTTCATAAGCGAAGGAAAAATAAATTTTTTTGTGAACAAGCAAGCACTCAGAGATTTCATCACCACCAGGCCTGCTTTACAAGAGCTTCTGAAAGAACCACTCACATAGAAAGGAACAAACAGTATCAGCCTTTCTAAAAAATACCAAAAAGTAAAGAGCATCAATATAATGAAGAATTTACATCAACTAATGGGCAAAACAGCCAGCTAACATTAAATGGCAGTATTAAACTCACATATATCGCCAGGCGCGGTGGCTCAGCCTGTAATCCCAGCACTTTGGGAGACCTGAGGCGGCTGGATCACGAGGTCAAGAGATCGAGACCATCCTGGTCAACATGGTGAAACCCCGTCTCTACTAAAAATACAAAAAATTAGCTGGGCATGGTGGCACGTGCCTGTAATCCCAGCTACTCAGGAGGCTGAGGCAGGAGAATTGCTTGAACCCAGGAGGCGGAAGTTGCGGTGAGCCGAGATCGTACCATTGCACTCCAGCCTGGGTAACAAGAGTGAAACTCCGTCTCAAAATAAAAAAAAGAAAAGAAAAGGCACCAGGATCTGTGTGATTTCCCATGCAGTAGCTCACTGTGCCGGCTGAAACAGCAGCGCTGAGATTCGTGGGGCTTTTTTTGCCCAGGAATCTCCTGGCCTGGCTCCCTGTTCAGTCCCCTTTTTAATCAGGTGAATGGGTGACTGTGCCTTCCCGGCCTCCAATCACCAGCTAAAAGGGCACCTCGACCAGTGTATTTTGCATAGAGGACCACCAGGCCAGGGTGCTGGCAAAGCAGCTGCACTGGTCAAAACAGCCGCACTGGCGACCCGTGGTGCTCCTCCATCTAGGAATCTCCTGGTCTGTGGGCAATAAAAATCCGTTTGGAAATGCAGCGTCCACTCACCCTCTGCCCTTGCACTGGGAGCTGCAACTTGGAGCCGTTCCTAAACGGCCATCTTGGATCTATTCCAAAATAGGATCCAGATTCTTAAACAGCAGGATATCTTTGCAAGCCTCTTGCAATCTGTTTCTTTGATCATCAGTTTTTGGTTGTATAATCTTGGATTCTGCATCATCATCTTCTTCATAAGGATTATAAGCTTCTGCACATACTGAGGCACGCCCTGTGAATCAGTTTATTACTGGATCATTGAACGCCCCTGCATCTGTGGGTGCCGCCTCCTCCTCCTCCCCATCCCCTGCTCTCTGCTGGCAGCAGAGAAACACCCACCCCCATGTATCTAGTGTGTCAGGCCAGAACCGTCTAGGCTCCTGTGTCCCTGCACAGTAAGAGGTGGCTGCCATCCCATACCCCTGTCCTGAAGCAGAGACAAGCCCTGTGCTTGGTCCAGGCCTCCTCCCCTTTTCCACAGCCTCAGGGCCCTGGGGACTGATGGTCACCAGGTGCAGGGCCTTCCCACATGGAGGCTGTGTGGACTGGGAGCTCAGTGCCTCTATTTTTCATTTAATGGGGAAGAGCCGAGTCGCTGGTGGCAGAGTGGCACTCAAGGTCTCTGCCCAGTCTTCACTGCTGGCTAAGCCCTCCCCAGCAGCCAGGGGCCACTGGGCCCCCCCACCTCCCTCCTATTTCTGCCCACAGGTCCAGATGCCTCCATGTTTGATGCAGGAACCAAAAGCCTCAGCTTCTTCCCATATAAACAATGAAGAAGAAAGTACCTAGAGATATAACTGTAGTAACTAGTTATTCATAGGTGATCTTAGTTATTTGTAGGTGATCTTAATTCTTTTACTAATGACTCTCAAGTCAGAAGTGTGAACCTGGGGTGACATTGTGAAATGAATGACCCTAAGGCAAGAGGCTCTCTGCCCTCTGTCACCCCCGCCCTCATGAGGGCTGCCAGAGCGCGCTTTGGCTGACGGGCAGCGCCAGCGCTGGGAAAGCGGCCGCTGTTTAGCCAGCTAGGGAAGGCGATGTCCAAAATAGCTGAGACGTCTCCTTCCCCAGAGGAGTTAGGAGAAAACTCCACCTCTCCAAGCGCTTGTGGTAAGTGTGACATGGTAACTGCCCCATAAATTGCATACCCCAACCATGTCTCAGCTTTCCTTTGAAACTGCTCTCTGTAACCCTAATGCTACAGGCCAGCAGTCCAAACCAACGCCATCTTGGCCCCTGCACCATTTTAAGACTTGTAGTAAGTAACTAAGGTCTGTAATTTCCACCCTACTCAGACGATGTGTAAACTAAGGCTTATCTTGACTTCTGTGAACCACTTCAGTAACAATCGAAATGTCCAAAGCCCCTCACCCTCACCCCTGCCCAGGATGTGGTTTACGGGCATAAAAGGTCTTCACACCCTCCTTTTGGGGCCATGGTTGGAGAGACGCGAGTCCTCCGTGGCCGCCGGCAATAAAGACCCTGCAATTTGGCCTAGTCTTTGTCTCAGTGGTGATTTCAAACTCAGTTACAGTAGTCAGGCCTGGTGGCTGTCAGGCAGGGCCACAGACATCGGGGGCTTAATTGTCTCTATGTGGTGCTGTGCTTCAGTGGTCACGTTCCGTGTCCACTCTTATGTTCCATTTCTGTACCTGGTTCCTTTTTTCTTAGAAAAGGTAATCAGTAAGAGCAATATAAATTTTAACGTCTTCTTTCTTACCGAGTATGGAAAAGTGCTGACGCATTATGCTCCCTACCTCATCTCTGCTAATTGCTGAGTCTCCACCTGTGTGCCACGCCCTATGTTACCCTGCCCCCAGTCACCAAACACCCAACCTTCGCTGCCTCCAGACTTGAAACTCAATAAAACCAGAGCTTCCAGGCATTCGGGGTCACTGCTGGTCTCTGCGATTTGGGTAGCAGTGCACCCCTGGGCCCAAACTCTCTGCCTTAGGTCTTTTATTTCTACAATTTCTTGCCTCTGCACCAGTCAGGAGGGGCTCACAGAACACTGCAGGGCTGGACCCTACAGAGGGTGCAGCCACAGAGTCAAGCCTGGGCAACCATCAATGGCTGTGCCAGAAAGTGAGCCCTAGAGGGAAGCAAAACCCGCTGTCAGCTCCTGTGCCCATGGAAATCCAGCCCTTCACAGATCTGAGTCTCATCTGGATTAGCCCATATATTTAGAAAGTGATGAAGGGACTCTGGGCCTGAGCTGCTTCAGTCTCTAGAGGAGCCTCGATGTTACCTGCAGGAGAGGAGAGTGCAGGAGAAGCTGCCTGAGGCTGAGAACAGAGCGGGAGAGGCAAACACCTGGAGGCTCTGGCTTTGCAGGACGATGGGGAGGAGGGGGGGAGGAGGAGGAGGAGGAGGAGGAGGAGGAGGAGGAGGGGGAGGAGGAGGAGGGGGAGGAGGAGGAGGAGGAGGAGGAGGGGGAGGAGGAGGAGGGGGAGGAGGAGGAGGAGGGGGAGGAGGAGGAGGGGGAGGAGGAGGAGGAGGAGGAGGGGGAGGAGGAGGAGGAGGAGGAGGAGGAGGAGGAGGAGGAGGGGGAGGAGGAGGAGGAGGGGGAGGAGGAGGAGGAGGGGGAGGAGGGGGAGGAGGAGGAGCTGTGCCGCATTTGTGGAGGTATTCACCCCTTCACATCAGTTTCTGAAAAGTAAGTGTTTCTGGAATTTCTATTTTCAACTGGTTAAAGAACTATGAAACAAGCAGAATCCACAGAGTGGCAAGAACGTTACAGAGAGCTTCTCTTCCTGCACTGCTTGAGAGTGAGCTGTCACACTGACGCCCCATCTTAATGATGCCACCTCATGTCCCATACTTTACTATGGTTTCCTTGCAAACCAGGACACTCTCCAGATACCACAGTGCAAATTGCAAATTCAGTTTCGCTCCGGACATTATGACCACCTCATGCTCAGACACCACTCTGAGTTCAGCAGTTGTTCCAAGAATGTCTTTTATCACCAGGGAGCTGATGGATGTGGGCCTTTCCTACCTCCTCATTTTCCTAAATAGATGCCTTATGGTGTTCTATTCGTCCCACTGGGTGATCTGTATATTTTTGCAAATATGGAAAGTGATCTGGATCGATGTGGTCATTTTTGTTGTATGTAAATAAAAAATCCTCACTAACGTGTTGGAAAAGTTTAACATTTTTATGCAGCATTTGGATTGTTTCATTTTTGCTATTTCAGATTTTGCACTGTGGTGCAGAGTGAAATAGAAATCTTTCATCGACACTGAAAAGCATCCTGTACTGTCCTAGAATATTTCATTGCTAACTTTTTGCTATGACAGAGGACAGCAGAGTAAGCAGTCTAGTACCTCCATGCTCCGGAACATGTGTGGGGCCTGGAAGTGACTCTGGGATTGCTGGTTAGTGGGATGAGCACAGCGTCCACTGTCCCCAAGATCTCTGCCTGAGTAAAAGTCAAAGGAGTGATTCAATCTGGCCTCCTACCCACAGTGTAAGAGCTCTCTGATATTCCATTTCCTGTCCACCAGTTGGTAGAGACGGATTAAAAAATCTGTCAGTAGGATGGGTATGCACGGGTATACTGCTGTTACGTTGATTGTGTCAGATACATGAAAGCTTTCACAGGTTTCTTCAGCATCTCTGACCTGCTCATAGCAATTGCCCAAGACCTAGGTGCACTTTATTTATTTTTAGGAGTTCTTTATATATGCTGCTCTGATCTTTTGTCTATGGGGGAATAGAATAACTTTTACAAATAGAGATGTATCTGTGGCGAGAATTCCTTCTAATAGAATTGAACGTGGTCAGCACTGAAAAATGACAAGAAAAGCCACTGCCAAGCATGGAGTGGGCTGGGGTCAAACCAGAAAGCATGACTTGCTGGAAGCAGGGACGGAGGCAGGAATATCTGCCGGCCCCCAGGGCCTCAGGACAGTGAAGACGGACAGCCAGTCTGCTTGTAGGTAAAAAGTGATCTTTAAAGTCTCTGTTGTCAAAAGATATCTTGTAGCATCCCTAGCTGCATTACTAAACATAACACAGCAGAAAAACGGAATTCCATTAATTTTCTACTGGGTTATAAACAGAAATTCCAAAGTCAATCCTTATCTTTGAAAATAGACATCTTTATTTAACTGTAAGTATCACCTAATAAATTACTAAACGAAATAATCAGGAATCTAACACTTTCTCATATTAAATAATTAAAAATTTCTACAACAGTTACTGTGGTTGATGTCTGTAATCCCAGAGAATTGAGAGGCCAAGGTGCGAGAATTGCTTGAGGCCAGGAGTTGAAGACCAGCGTGGGCAACATAGGAAGACCCAATCTCTACCTAAAACTAAAACAACTTGCTGGGCATGGTGACATGCACCTGCAGTCCCAGCTATTCTAGAGGCTGAGTCTAGAGGATCACTTGAGCCCAGGAGTTGGAGATTACAGAGAGTGATGATTACGCTGCTTCACTCCTATATGGTTGACAGAATGAGAAAATGTAAAACACTATAAAAGTAAAAAGGATTAACAGAATTCTTGGTCAGTGCATGGAAATGATCCCTGAGGTGTGAAGCCCAGCATGCAATTTTACTAGCAATAACGTTTGGAAGAACGAGGTCATACTTCAGAGAAGTGTCTGCCAATGAAGTAGAAAGAAAATGCTTTTTGCTGGGTTTTCTTGTCCAGTTATAACTTGTACAGGAATTCCAACCATTAGCACCAAGAGAAAGTGGCAGAGGATGTGAAGAAAAATGGCTGCTAGGACCATCACCGAAGGTAATGAGCGGCATGAGAGGTTGGGTCTCCAATGCCCTCATCATCTGCTGAGGTCGGCGAGGTTGCCAAGGCTTGAACTGCTGGCTGTCCAGCAAGGCACAGCGGTGAGTAGACAGGCGGCCTCTCTGAGGGAGAGTGGGAGGCAGACCGGGCCAACAGGGGCTGCTGGGTGTCATCTTCCACCTTCAGAAAGATGAAGCGTTGGTTTAAATGGCTGAGAAAAACCTGGGTCTGTTCTTTCGGGTGATCCCTCCTAGGCCCTCCGCACTTTGGAGCCTCTCACCCAGATAAGGACCATGTTTTCCCTCCAACCCTCCCCCTGGCTCTGCAGCCTCCCAACCTCCTTCCTCCTGCACCACATCACAGAGCCAGCCCAGGCCCTGCTACAGCCCATGGGGGCTCAGAACTGAGGCTGGGAAAGAGGGGTCTGCACCCTCACTCAGGGCCTGCTCCTCCTCCTCACAGAAGGGTCTAGAGGACCTGGCGGGGCGGGGGGGCCTGTCCAAAGAGCGGTCTCTGGATCCACATTCCCTGGCCTTGGGTGGGCTTGCAGGCAAACCTGCTCTTTCCCCTTCCCTCTCAGCCTCTCCTCACCCTGGGAGCTGCACCCACAGCTCTGAATGGAACCGTCCCCACCCGCCCCATTCATTCCTGGTCAAGCTCAGTGCTGACCATGGAACTCCAGCAGCCGCTCAGCTCCCTGTCTGCGTCCATCTGCTCCAGGCAGGACTGCAGCTGGCTCAGGGTCTGGAGTGTGCAGGAGGCGGGAGGGCAGGGGCACTGCCACAGAGCCTTGCTGGCAATCCCATGGGTTCTAGTGGCTCGGCCTTTTCCTAAACCTGGACACACTCCACCCTTCACCTTCCCCCTTAACTGCTGGGACCCAAGCTGCTTTCTCTGAGAATGCGGCCTTTGGAATGGGGTGAATCAAGGCCTCACCGCCCCCTCGTCCTGGGATTCCCCCAGATCACTCTCTCCTCTGCCTCCTTCAGGGATGCCCTTTCCCTTGACATCCTAGGTGAAGCGGCCATGCTGCTCCTCTCCTACTGTGCGGACTGCCCGTGTCTGGGTTCCTGCTGCCTGCGGGCCACACACCACTACCCTTCCCAAGAAGGAACCTGCTCTGAAACAGGCCTGAGTTGGCTAATCAGACCCGGAGCCTTGTATGGGCCCCTTCCTTTCCCTCCAGCCTCTGAAGGTGAGAATCCATCAGAACTCAGGGCAGAGCTGCCCAGGTCAGTGCCAACAAGTGACACTAGGTCTCATTCACCTGTCTCATGTCAGGACGGAAAGGTCCCGGCCATGGGGAGGCGGGGACTCTGGGAATTCTCCTTTCCCATCCTCCCTCCTCACCCATCTGCTTCTTGCTCCCCTCCCAGTTCTGCCCACAGTACCTGTCACTCTAAAGGACTCACCTCAGATGTCAGGTAGGAGGAAGCAGCAGAGGATGGGGCAGAGGAAGCAAAGCATGACAGTGGTGGCCACGTCCCAGAGTTGGGCTGTGCCTGAGGGCTCGGAGGGCGGTGCTGAAATGGAAACACCAGCGTCACAACCCTTGCCCAGGCCCCGCATTTGAAGACACACCTCCTCTGCTCCTGCCACCCCTTGGAGGTGGTTTTGATGTATTTCCAGAAACAGAACAAGGGGAGAGGAAAGGAAAAGTGATTATAGGAGGAGGGACATCTAAGGAGAAAGGTCTAGAAACACAATAATGCCCATAGTTTTGAGGCTGGCGAGAAATCCACAGTGAGGGGAGCAGAAGCAGGTGCAGTGAGGAAGAGGAGTCAGGAGGGAGAAGGGAGAGGAGGACGGGAGAGCACAGGCGCCCCCAGGAGGAGCTCCCGACGAGGGGTCATGTTCTTACTCAAACTCACACACTCACACTCACAAACACACTCCCACACCCACAAACACTGACACCCACTCACACCCATACACCCGCACCCACCACAGACACCAACAGACAAGGCTGTAACTCGACGGCATCTCCAGGCGCTCCCGGTGCCCCACTGTAGTCACCTGTGTGCTCCCGCCTCTTCTCCCTGCACATCGAGAAGTCCTGAAGCCAGCTCCCGCAGTCACCCACTGAAAGCTTCTCCAAGTGCTGAGTCAGTTCCCCGTCCTCCTCCCACTTCTCTTTCATCCGCCTGGCTCCAGCATGAACCACTGTCCACTTTCTGCTGTTTGAGTCAAAGAGGAGGAACTTCTGTCCATGAAATCCGAACTCCCAGGATCCATGGATGTGTCCATCGGCTTCACACTCACAAGACATCCTGGCCTGCAGCGTGACGGGTCCTGCCCCAATTAGAAAGAGATCAGCTCTGGTGTTTACAAATTCTCTTCCCTGCCCCACACCCTCCTCCTCTGAGCCCCTTCTCATCTGGCCCTGTTGTCTCCTCCAGGTCCTGCCCTTGCTGCTGGGCGTCATGGAGGCCCCGTGTCTAATGTCTTCTCCCCGCACACGGTGCAGCCCCTGAGCCCACAGTCTGCTCCCTTCCGTCCTCGGTCTCCTCCACTCACCACTGGGGGTGAAATCCTCCAGCTCAATGCCAGCCAGTTCCAGTCTGAGCCTCCGCCCCACCTCTCTCAGCATTTTCAGTTGTCTTTCCCAGGCATCTGTGGCATTCAGCTGCTCTTCTAGGCGACCCCCAGCTAAGACCTTGTCAGTGCCACAGTCATAGGAGAGGAAATTCTTCTGATCCACCTGGCCTTGGACCTCGCACCACCGTTGTCCAGATCTGGGCAGATGGGTGATGGTGAAGTTGTACGAGAGAGAGTGAGCGTCTACGGGAAAAAAGAAAAACACCGGAGAGTGTTGGGGTGGGGAAAAGACCCCAGACACTGTGACAGCAAGAGGATTTCCTGCAGGGCGGGGCTGCCAGAGCATGAACTTCTCTTCCTGGGCAGTGGCCTCTGTCTGTGGAGGAACCATGGGTCACCAATGTGTCCATCTCCCCACTCTGCCCAGGCCTATACATACATCGGTCAGCACAGGACCTTGCCAGGGAGGTGCCAGGCCTGCTACAGGAGGAAGGGCCTAGATGGCAGGATCTTCAGCAGCAGTCTAGGTGGACTGTGGGAGGTGTAGAGTGGGGAGGGCGCCCTGAGGATGCTGGAGCATGGCACAGTGGGTACGATGTAGTCAACATTGGATAAGCGTGACTTTATTTATTATGGGAAACAAGGTAAAGTGGGTTCCCTGGAATGTGCCTCTCATCTGCTAGTAGGTTGCCCTTGGGACGTTGAAAAAAGAATGACCCACACCACATGAAACAGAAACCCAGCTCTTACGTGGCGGGTTGTAGAAGAAGGAACCAAAGGCCGAGAGAAGCGCCCATGCCAGAGTGGCTGCAGCATGAAAATCCAGAACAATGTCCGTCCTCTGTGCTCACGGGAAGCCTGGAGGACTCCTGTTTACCCAGCATATAAAGGAGGCCCCGGGAGAAGGCAGCAGACTGTCATGAAGCTCAGGGGTGCCCATTGCTGAGGGCCAGGTTTGGGGGTAGGAGATGTTATTCCTGAAATGGGTGCCCAACAGTAATGGGGATGGAAAATCCTGAAATACCAGATCTCAAGTGGAGG